CGAGTTACCCAAGAATTGATGCCCAAAAGAAAATGCAATCCAGTGTCGCAACCCAGAACTGTGTTTTCAATTCCTCCTTTCCTCCCTCCCCCCTACTCCCTGTTTCCCTCCCCCCTCCCCCTCCTCCCACCGTTCCCAAATCCTAAGTACAACCCATGGGATGCGGGAAATCCCCACGTACAGACTTATTTCATCAATGTCAAACAGCAGTGAAGACAATTATAGGAATATTTGGAAAAAAAAAGTACAATATCCTGCTCGATTCAGGAATTTGACCAATGCAAAAAAAGGCCTGCATCTCTTTCTCGCTCTCTTTCGTTGAATGTTTTTGATCGGTGCAGCAACATTAACAACCTTTTATTCTCACTACATAACGTAGTAAAATCGTAAGAATTAATCAATGAATGTGAACCGATTGAACAAAAAAAGACAAAGGAAAATGATGGAAAACTGAGTTCGACGCTTCAAATAACAATAACACAAAAAGAGAGGAGCGCTACTGCTGCTGTGGTGCTCACTCATCCGGAACAACAATATCCCCGCTGCGTATCGCATCCACAATATCATGCGGATGTTGACCATTCACTGTGCAACCAACCGATTGAGCCGTTCCTGAAACATTTTTTTGCATTAAATGATAGCGGAAGGCAACCAGAAGGCAACAAAGAAGGCAACAATTTAAGAGAGAATTAAAACGTAAACTTCGATTTACAATAGGGCAAAATTCAGTGTTAATCGGTTAGTGATAATCCTCGTAAACGGCTTATCAACACAAGAGGGAGGGCACGCAGATTGAGCCGTAGTTTTTAAATCTTTCCCTATCTATCTAGAATCCCTCAGCTAAATTTTCCCTATCTCTCTCCTGGAATCCCTTTGCTGTATCACTTTTTCATAGAAAATGCTGGCTCATAAATCGCAGACAGTGATCGCCCATGTCAATAGTTGTTTTTTTCTTTTTCCCCCTCTGTACTTCCTTATATCCATCATGCAAATGAAGCATATGAATGTTCAGCACATGGGTGAGTAAGAGGTTGTACTGACGACTCCCGTTCCTTGTTGTGTGTTTACAGCTAAGGGATGAAACACAAAGACTGCATCCTAACATGTCTTCTTACACACGACATCTAATAGCATCCCTTAAACAAAAGTATATTTGGCTAAAGACAGAAAGAAATCCAAGTGATTTACCTAATATTTCCTTGACAGTTCCTTCCAACTTTTTTGCCATTGAGCGTGGCCGCATCTGTCGGGCAATGTTGATTATTTGCTCAACCGTCAAATCGCCGTTGTGTCTCACTGCAAACAACACGTAATCGTCTCCAGTGAAAAAAAGTTGATACTAATTTAATTAAATTCCATAATTTTCCATCATTACCCGAAGCTTCGCTTCAAATCCAATCAAATCATCACTGGTTTTTTTTTTTTTTTTTTACATAAGTCAGAAACTGCTCATCACTGTGAGTTGCTATATTCTTAGAACAGGACTTTCTGATGAGTTTTTGCAAAAAACATGACGAAATTGCAACGAAAAAACAAAACCTCACATGACGAGGCTACGAGTCCGCACATGAAAAAGTGATTCAACTACAAAACTACAAAAGCTTGCTAGCTAAGACATCCGTATGGTATCAAGCTACGAAACACAAAGTGAATGTCCACATCCTCCTACGTCTCACCAAAATTCAAGCCCCTCGGCGAGTTGGCAACTTGCCAAAAAGTCTGTAATTTTACCTAAGTTTTTACGTAATATTATCCAGTTAAACTAAGACGCAATAAAACCAATTTCCACATATTTCGCTGCATCTATCAACTATGCACAACGTTTTACCGCAAAAAATGGATGCAACTATTTACAGGAGTAAGCTAATTTCGTGATATACAATAACACATAGCTGAGCGCTTACCGGACAATTTTTCCCCCGAATTTGCAGGTGCATGCATACCATACGGTTACCAGTCTTTTTTCAGGGTATGCGAAGACATCGTGTCTCACAATGCTCGAAAAAATGACTGGGGGATGGGGACCGTGCGTTGGTCACCCGACCCGCCGCCTATATATATATATAGTGTACTTTGTCTCTCCCTCTGCCTTTCTGTGTTTTCCTATATATATATGAAGAGGGTGTCATCACACTGCGCATACCGTTCTTGACCTTCTTCCGATCACGCGATGGCTCCTTGAGCTCTTTGATGAGCAGCGATGCGGCACTGGGTACCACGTCGATTTTGGCAACACGATTCTGGATCGTCAATTTGCATGTCACTTTTAGACCCTTCCAATCCTGCGTCGCTTTTGCTATATCATCGCCAATTTTCTTCGGTGACTGTAACACACAGAGGGAGAATTCACTCAAGTTATCTTTTTTTTTTTACAAACTCAAACTTATTTGCTAATACTTCATTGCTGGTTACCACTGTCCTCCGGACGAGCTGTTCATAGATTCGCCTTATAGGGCTTGTACTGCCCGTACTGGTCTTTACCCTTTACTGAACTGGCCGTTGTTCCTGTCCGTGGGCTCTTTAGCCTTTTTCTATTGCTTTTAGGGTTGTTACGGCCCGTACTGCCTTTTACCTTATTGTAATGGCAGGCAATTCAGTGGAGCGGAATTACAGCTAAGGGATGAAACACAGACTGCATACTGACGGTGATGTTTCGCTTCACGGAATGTCGCAACTTTAAATACTACGATTCGGCCTACCAATGGGCGCAAATTATTTGAACAAACTTATCCCACCCTTCGTTTTTTTATTCTTTCTGACTCCGGCCGTTCCACATTTTGATTTCTTTGGACCGTCCATTTTTATCAAGTTTACGATTCGGCCTTCTAACGGCTGTAATTTATTATTCGTCCTTACTGTTTTTATGTTATACACAAGTTCAAGTAGTTAATTCATCTGCAGCCAGGGGGGGGGGGGGGGGGGGGGGGGGGGAATATGACCTAAGAGAGGGGCCACAGAAGGCCGAACCAAAACTGGACGGTTCAAGTAGGACAATCCAAGAAGAGGGTGAAATTGTCATGTGGTTTTTTGCAGCCACTGATAAGCCGAACCATACCTGCCGAAACAACGGCCCGCAGAGCCAAAGAAAATCCGGAACGGCTGAATTCCTTAAGTTTTAAGGGTGCGAGGGTAAAAATGCTCAGAAGTGGCACACTGAAAACGCTAAGCCAATAGTGGACATAATAAACTGGCAAGGTATGTCAGGCTCTTTCGTTTGCGAATAACTTAAAAACACCTGGAAAGCGTTCAACTTCCTAGCATAATAGATAACGGTACTACGTATTCTTTGCAGATATGCGGAAGCGGATGGGATAAGCGAGGAAAAAAGACTGAGGGAGGAAGGGAGAGGGAAGAGAAAAAAAGCGGCGATTGCTCCCTGCGTTCATCGAATATTTTTCCTAATAGTTCCTTTGAAACAACGGAGAAGTTGTCCAGAAAACAATAAAATACTTTGAAAAAACAGTTATACCAGGCCAAGCGGGCCAACTTTCGGTGCCAAAGCTGATGTTGCACCAACTTCTCCGCCAACGCATCGCAAATAAACTGAAAACAAACAATAATTTAAGAGCAGAAGAGCACAGGGCATGAATTTCTGCTTCTTTCTGTCGTCTTTCTTTCCTTCTTCGATTAAGCACTGCGACCATCATACTGACGGGGTCCTGTCGCGCGGGGCTGTTGAGTTAAGCCGTATATGACTTAATGGACCGAAACGTCTCTTATCCCTCCTTCTGTCATGCTATAATCTATTGCGCCTTCGCATATGGGTTTCCAGGGTCAATCAGGTTGCTACAATTTGCTGCTTAATATTTCCCATTGTTACAAATGTATCTATTATATGGGTATCAACGAGAAAGTAAACGACCACTCGGGCGACCCCCAAGAAGGCATATGCATCGGACAGGTGGTAACACCAGTTTGAAATAGCATTTGTGACATGTGCTGCAACTTGCTGACACCTACCTCTGCAAAGCGCAGTTTCATGGTTTGCTGCAATGCTACTACCCCCATCTTTTGAAGTTCCCGCGCATTGTTCTATATAATCCCCAAAAAAACCCTCGAACTTACCAATTTTGATTTCTGATGGATCGAATTTTGGTGGCATCTCGACAACACTCCTGCGCTAGCAACAGTCAACCACGCCAACTCACAACTATCCAGGAAGAAGAAATGTTCGTTGTGATACAGTCCAGTGCAATCAGAAATGCAACAGAGAAATCCTACAGGAAACGGTAAATCGTTTCGAGACTCAGCACGAAACATAACAACGCAAAACCCCCATTCCCTTCGTGACCTTCAATAGTCCTCATTTGTTTGGACTAGTTGTGGTAATGGTAAGAAATGTATACGGCTTCATGGATTAAAATGTGCCTTTCTAAGTTATGCTTTTACTTCCTCCACATTTACCACCAACTGTTCTCATTGATAACATTTGGACTAACTGTGGTACTGGGAAGAAACATATACGACTTCATGGACTGAAACATCTCTTCCTAAGCCATACTTTTCCGTATTTTTGTCAAAACGGCTTCTCATTCATATCCTTCCCTTAATATTCAGTCTCTTAAGATTTTCCAAGAACAGAATTTTCCTGCCACTGGCATACGTTATTCTCGTAAACTGCTTACTTCCCATTTTCCTCTAACTTTATGCTTCAACGACTTAATTTTAAATTCGCCTTACTTTGCTTGTTTGATTCCCCAAACAGCTAAACGATCTTGGCCATGCTCTAAAACCAATGCAAGTCAGGCTTGGAAAAGCCAAAACGCATATCACTTTGGACACACCACATACCATGAACACCAAAATTATCCTGGAATGAACTGGAAAGAAGCTGAGACTTTGCTTGGAGATAAGAACTGAAAAGAGTCGCGGGATTTATGAGGGATGAGGAAGGAGGGATCTCCACAGGTTTTTATGTTCAGCATAAAACTTGACGGTTTATCAGTGTTGAACACGATATTTAGAACCTCATCTAGACAAAGAACCTGATATTACGACCCTCACAGCTCCAATATGTACCCAACAAACAGCGCTAGGGCCTTAACTGCTTTTCGAAAATATCCCTCCTTCCCACCCCTCGCTTGGCCTAGATTTCTAGGCCTTCTGGGGCCTAAATTTGGTCCCAGAACTTACGATTATCTCAGATGAGCTTTTGTGACTTGTGGTACCGAAAATCATAGTCGCAAGTGATGGGCACCTGTGAAGAGCAGATAAATTTTATTTATAAATGCAAATACACAAACACAAGTAAAAACACACACACGCAAAAATCATTCAAAGCCCTAAGAAGTAGGCATCCTTAATCTCTTGAAAGAAAAGACGCAGAGGGGAAAAGTTATTCAGAAAAGCTACGGAGAACAACATTTCTTTTTTTTTTCTGGGGGAGGGGGGAAGGTAGGGAGAAAGTGGACTAATTTTTTATGTGTCTTCACAAAAAGACAGTTTTATGCCTCTCAAAAAGAGACAATTTTTTATGGAAAAAAAGGAGGCAAACAATGAAAAAATCCGCTTCAGAAGCGCTGGATTATGTAAGACGAAAATGGGGTGGTGGGAGGGGAAAAGTGTGGGAAGGGGGAGGGGAGAAATCGGGCAGATTCAATCAAAACGGTGCAAATTTTGCATAACTGGGCCTAGAAATCACAAAAAAAAAAAGAAAAAAACAATGAAAAAGATGGCAGATAGGTTTGAAAATGAAGGAAAAAAAACCTGTTAGAAACAGATAAAAAAAAAATACAAAAAGTGCAGAATCGAAAGAAAACGTTGGTAACGGGCCACTAATGGCCTATCACAAAATTTAGTCGAGGAACGAATCAATTTAGCCAATGCTGTTAAAACGGCATCGTCTAAACTGATTCAGCGCGCGTTAGCACGTCGAATCGGGTGTCGAGGAAGCCTGCGGTTCCGGTGTTGATGAGGAATCGGAGACATGTGGATAGGGTCCAGTTGAAGATAGCGTATTCCCCAGCCCATATAAATGGCCTTCGACAGTTAGTGCAACCTGAAAAAAAAAAACGCATCATTAAAACTGGTTAGAAAAACAAGCAGGAAACATCAGTGTTAAGAGAAGTTTACGACTTAATGGACCAAAACACATTTCACCCCATCAATTTCTCAACCCCATCAGAGTTTTCGTTTTCGACTTAATGGACCGAAACGTTTTTTATCTTATTATTTTCTCAACCCCTTTAGCAGTTTCGTCTTTCTTATCTCCTTCCGGCTTTATCTTAGCGTCTCAACATGCAGTTATATCAAAACCTCTTCCATATTTAATCCAGAATGGATGCACTCGGAACTCCGTTGAGTATATGCCAGTACCAACTATCATCGAAACGAATCATGAAATGACAAGTTACAGTTCA